TCCTACTTCCGTAGTGATACTGCCTCGGAAACCCAAGGAGGGGTCGCTATGAGTCGGGGCCGACTCGATGGCAAATAACAACAACAACAACAACAACATCTTCTCATTAGCAGCCAAATAGTTACTCACTATACCACCAGAGCTCCTTGATCATAGCCAAGCAGGCTATATTTAAGAACAAGGCTCTTGCTCCAGCAAAAACTTCAGTACAAATCAGGAGCTAGAACTGGAACACATTTATCCAATAAACTGCAAGACACATTCCAAAAATTTTATTCTTTCATTTGTGTATTCATTCATTTTAAAAAATATAATTTATACCTACTCTAGACCAGGTTTTGTTCCACAGCAGTGAACAAAATTGTTGAGTTCCTTGACTTCATAAAGTTGAAAAATCCAAACTTCATCATATGCACTAAGAAATCACTCGGAAGACTGGAGGGAAGGTTTCAAACAAAAGAACCATGCCAGGTGCCTAGGGAGTCGCTTTCCTTTCCAGGAACTCAGAGTCTGCTCCCTTTCTTTGCTCTCCATCATATTAGGAAAGGATCTAATATCTGCTGTTTAACCGTCCAGTTAATTTAAACTAATGTTCAATATGTGCATTTTAAATAGCAGTGAAATGAAAGACAAATGAGAGATATCTTGCAGGGAAAAGCTGGTTACTAGAAGTGGTGTTATGTAGGCAGTGTGCTGCACTTAACTGTTTAGGGCAGACCTCACTGATCATGACTGTTCCAGAGAACAGACCCCTCTTCCTGTTCCAAAGTCTAGTTCCTTTGCTACCTGCATCCAGGGATCCGCTCAGGTATTGCTCTCACCAACGGTTCAGAGAAACTCTGAGTGAATGGATGCACATTTTCACTAAGGTGGAAGAAATCATGTTCAGTATCAAAACAAATCTGACACTTAAGTGACTTAAAAAGTTTTGGAAAGACTGTAAAAATTAGGTTAATTCTGATTTTTATCAATAGGGCATCTAATCCTAGGGAGTATATTTTTCTCCATTGTGAGAAATTAACTTCTTCAGAGTCTTTGTTTTCTTACAAGAGACAATTGTGCCCTCAAACTTTTCATTGTTCACCCAAAGCAAAGAAGGACTTATTTCCTGATTCAATGAAATTGAAAAATTGACAAATTAAGCACAGCTCTGAGGAGCTGATGAAATATTTTTGTCTGGTTACTGAACCTCACATTTCTTGCTTAAAAATGTATTAATTTATGAAAGAAAAAACATGGCAGTTTTTTTTTTTCTTTTTTTTTTTCAGGGTGTGTGCAGACGGTTGCAATTATAGGACCAATCTTTGGCTTCCTATTAGGCTCATTATGTGCCAAACTGTATGTTGACATTGGCTTTGTAAACCTAGGTGAGAGAGTTTATTTTTATTTATTCATTTATTTTAGGTACTGTATTTTCTTTAATGAAGATAGTGTGGAAAATATCAAATTTCTTTTTATTAGTGATAGGATAGTAACCTTTGATAAAATGAAAATAACCTATGGAAGACTTATTATTAATGTAATCATCACACACAAAAAAAACATGCTTTAATAAATGGAACATGAAAAATAGGTAGTCTTTGGAACTGGATGACCACAGTTTGTTATTAAGTTGTATCCTTTTTCACTTCTGGTTTTCCAGTTCAGACGCATTCCAGCATAGTTAAGACTAAAAACTATGGCTACTTGTTGGCTATTGTTGGTTTTAGGTGTGTAAACATTTATTACAGTCATATCAATAGGTAATATATCTGGGAACTTGTCAAAAAGGCTAAGGATTGACAGTCTTCTGGCAACCAAAGTTTCCTTCTTCTTCTTTTTTTTTTACCATGCAAATATTTTTAAGTGGAGAAGTACTGTCGTACTCCTTCCAGCATTGGTTGTGTAGGGAATATATGGGGAACTTGATCTTTCCATAGTTATATTTCTTTCCCTGGGAACTATGCCCTCTAGAAATAGACAGTATTTATCTTTTTAAAAGAAGCACAATAAAGCAATCAAAAACAAGAAAATAAGTAATTTTCACACACAGGAAATTCCACAATTACATTTTGAGATCATTATGTGTATTCATTTATTTAAAAACATATATATTTTATATCTACTCTAGACCAGGTTCTATTCTATTGCAGTGAACAAAATAACTGAGTTCCTTGATGTCATAAAGTTTTAAAATTCAAACTTGGAGACAGAAAATATGAAAGTATAGGTGTTGTGACTAGGACAGAAGGAAAATGTTAAAAGAAAGCAATTAACAGGCAGTAAGAAGCAAGTATAAACATCTTACTGCAGAATGCAGTAGCAATTAAGCCTGCTTGTCAAGAGACATGTGCTTATTTTGTTGTTCTCATGGAGAGTATTTGAGGTATAGTGATATGCTTTATTGGTTCTTAGAAATGGTGGTACAAACAGTTAAAATTTGTACATGTGTTACAATGGTTGAAGACCTGACAACTAACTAAAAGATTGCCAGGTCAAACACACTCAAAGGCACCTTGGAAGACAGATCTGGCAATCTGCTTCCAAAGGTCACAGCCTTGAAAACTGTTTGGAGCAATTCTAACTCTACGTACATGGAGTCACCTGAGGCAGAATTGACTTGGAGCAACTAACAACAACATACAGAAAAACAGTTTGGTTCAAATCTTGGTAATAGAATAGTTTATTTGTTTGCTTGTTTGTTTTTAATTGTGAATAAGATCCCAAGGTTTTGTTTCTATATAAAAATCTTGTTTCAGACCTAGAATAGCTCTGATATTTTATTAACCACAAATAAATAAATAATGTTCTGCTGATTTAGCCTCAAAGGGTCTCAAGTTTACCATCTTTGTAATCAGCAGTTTACACTAGGTTTGGTCTCAAGGGTGCAAAGCATAACCCTTTCTTCAAGTAAAATCTTAGATGTTTGATACATAAATCAGATAAAAGTGGAGCTGATATGGAGTAGTTGGTATATAAGGTTTTGAGCCTTCATAATCTCCCTCACACATAACCTGCCTCATGCCAAGGGTCCAAGGGCCATTCTGCAGAGCCCTTGACTGAATGTTGAAAGTCGTGAGGTCCCTTCCAGTATTTAGACTCTACTTGTAGTTCAAAGGGGAGCTCTGGTAGCGTAATCCCTAAGGCATTTGACTGCTAACCAGAATTCTAGCGGTTCAAACCCACTAGCCACTCCTTGGAAGTAAGATTTGGCAATCTACTCCCATAGAGATACTGCCTTGGAAACCCAAGGAGGGGTTGCTATGAACCAAGTGGACTTGACGGCAGTGAGTTTGGTTTTTTTGTTCTCTAGTTCAAAGAACAAAAGGAGAAAATATGGCACTCCAGAAGCACCCTTGTCTTTCAACAAGCAAGATAATTATGTTTAAAGTAGAAAAAAATCACATATGAATTATTAGATCTTCTTATGGTGAAATAGAGCCAGTGGGGGGAAAAAAAACACTCACTGCCGTCCAGTCGATTTGGACTCATAGCAACCCCTCCTTGGGTTTCAAAGGAGGTATGACTATGGAAGTAGCTTGCCCATTCTTCCTTAGAAGGAGTAGCTGGTGGGTTTGAACCACCAGCCTCTGGTTAGCAGTCAAATGCCTTAAACACTACACTACCAGAGCTCCTATAGAGCCAGTACTAGGATTAAAAAAAAAAAAGACTTATTTCAATATGTTAGTTTTGCCTTCTCTACTACTTAATCCTCCTCCTTATCTTTCAGAACATATAACCATTACTCCAAAGGATCCCCAGTGGGTAGGGGCCTGGTGGCTTGGTTATCTAATAGCAGGAATCATAAGTCTTCTCGCAGCTGTGCCTTTCTGGTGTTTACCAAAGAATCTGCCGACACCTCGTGGTCGAGAAGATTCCAATTCCTCCTCTGAAAAATCCAAGTTCATCATGAATGATCACACAGACTATCAAACACCCTGTGGAGAAAAAGCCAAAATAATAGAAATGGCAAGAGGTGAGTCAGATTCACCATGATTTTGAAGATCTTTTCGTTTCCCTGTTGGCACTTTAGGGGACCAAGAAATAGTACTCCTTTTCACTTTGTGTGTCCAGAGCAAGTTAAGAAATCACACAAGAAGCTGACATGGAGATGAAAGAGTCAGTTTTATTACTGGAAAAATTGACTGAAGAACATGACAGTCTTGATAACCCTCCCTCAGACATCTCTACCATTATACTCCTTCAGTATAGATTTTGCAGTTGTCCCTACCCAGGATTTCTGCCTTGCATCAATCTGGGTGGACAGACAAGAAAAGAGCAAAACTTCAGAGTTTGTAACCTTTTGACAGATGACGTCCACTCTTAGAGAAATGTGAGCCAATGCATTCTCTCCCTGCAACAATCAACTGAATGACTGTGCTATGAGGCCAAAGACCAAGAGTGGCCCTTCTGTGAATTACTTTTGTGTGGAAATGACTGACCAAGGACAAGATTGCTTAACATACCCACTCTGTTTCACCCCAAATTTATATTTATAGAAATTCTTCATATTTCTGTTTGGCAATACCATATAAGAACAGAGAGTATCAAAACTCACTTCTTACATTCAATTTCATATACTAAACAGAGATAATTTTCATATTCCTTTTTTATGCCCATGACCCAAGTTTGGAAAATAGAAACCAGAAATCCAAAATTCTTAATATCCTGCCTATGACTCCCAGTTGAGTGGTTGCTGTTGTTGTTGTTATGTGCCATCAAATTGGACCTGACTCATAGCGACCCCTCCTTGGGTTTCTGAGGCACTATCACTATGGAAGTAGATAGTCCCATCTTCCTTCCGAGGAGTGGCCGGTGGGTTTGAACCACCAGCCTTCTGGTTAGCAGTCAAGTGCCTTAGGCACTATGCTACCAGGAGTTGAGTGGTAGAGTACCTATTTTCATCTCTCTTGTTCTTTTCTCACATCAGTTGGAGGAGTCTATTCCTGTCTGACTTATGCCTCTAGCTGTAGTCTAGAATTTTGCCTACAGAACTTAGTAACTCTGCCTGGATCTGAGCCTGGTTGGATCTCAGCCTTGATTTGTGCCAATAGCTTACTATCGGTGGTGTTTACATGTGCCATAGGGTGAATGGCCCTGAACACTCATAACTGGACTCAGCAATCTAAGCCTTACAGCCAAAGCTATAACTTTTGCCACATGTCACACTGTCTTCTAATTACTCCATGTTTTTTATTTTTTGTTATAGATTTTCTTCCATCACTGAAGAATCTTTTTGGAAATCCAGTGTACTTCTTATATTTGTGTGCAAGCTCTGTTCAGTTCAATTCCTTATTTGGCATGGTGACATATAAACCAAAATACATTGAGCAACAGTATGGGCAATCAACCTCCAAGGCCAACTTTGTGATTGGTATACTTCTCTGTCCTGCATTCTTTCCAATAGGAACTATTTTAGATGGATCTTTCTGCCTCTTAGTAATTTAGAGAAAATTGTTCCAATATTTAAGCCAAAGATAATTTAAGGCATTTTAGGTATGAATTCAAAAATAAGAGAAAAAAATTTAAGAGTGTAATATTTAGGTTCTCTCTGGTGCATATCTGCAGAAAGAATTATTCATAATCATGGATGAATGACTCGGAAAGGAAATGCTTCTTGAAGAGGCAATATCATGTAGAGCATGTATGTATTTTGTGAGGAGATTATTAGTACTGGATATTTGACCTTCAAGTATAGCCAAAACGTCATACCAGTGACCATCTTACCTGAACAGTTTCTGGAATATATGGAATGGCATTCAGTCAGATTAAAATGTATTCATTGAAAAAAATAAAAAATACATTTCATGGAGTCAGAATACTTCTCTGACTTCTGGGAATTAAAAAAAAAAAAAAAAACTCATTACTGTCGAGTCAGCTCCAACTTATAGCGACCCCTCCTTGGGTTTCTGAGACAGTATCTCTAGGAAGGAGATTGCCCAATCTTCCTTTTGAGGAGTGACTGGTGGGTTTGAACCTCCAGGCTTCTGGTTAGCAATCAAATGCCTTAGGCAGAATTGGGTCATTTAAAAAGGCTATGTTTCTAAGACAGTAGTACAGTCAAAATGAGAAAGATATTCAAGGGCAAACAAAAGTACAATGAGATGAATTAAGAGGAATCTCAATTTACAAATGCATAAGCACCAGCCTACAAGTAATTGGATACTTTTCAATGTTAGATTCTCTCATTTAGTCCTTGAGGTTGTCATTTAATGTTACTGTTTGAAGGCATGAAATATAATCTATTTCTGGACACGTTCCTTCACGATAGAAGATTCCAATGGTTTAAAGTCATTTGTTCACCATAAAACATTTTTTTAAATTGCTCTATTTATCTCTTTCTAAAATAGACCTTGGAAGAAAGCAATCAATTATTATTAAAAAAAAAAAATCATTGCCATCAAGTCGGTTCCGACTCATAGCAACCCCTCCTTGGGTTTCAGAGGCAGTATCTCTACAGAATTAGATTGCCCAGCCTTCCTTCCAAGGAGGGGTGGTGGGTTTGAACCAACAGCCTTCTGGTTGGCAGTCAAGTGCCTTAGGCACTATGCCACTAAGTATTATAGAAGATATAATTTCCCTGTAAAAATCTTTAATAATGGACACTTAGCCGATCCTGATATAATTGACTTTTTGTTTGGACTATTCTCTAAAATTCTACATGTTAAGGTTAGATCACTGAACTTTTACTTTCAACATTAATTGGTTCAAATTATTTCAATTTTATTATTTAATATTTGACCTAAAGAAATATTTTAAGTTTTCTTTTCCACACTCCTTCCATGGCAATCAATGTTTAATGTTAACTTTTAGGAAAAATAGAAAAGGAATGAAAGTTTAAGAAAGACATTCTCTTTAATTTATTTTAAAAATTAAAAAATAATAATAATTGAGCAAAAACTTGTAAGCAATAGTTAAGTCCACAAACCTTAAATATATATCTCATCTATGTGTGTGTATGTGTCTGTTCCCTATTTAACTTATCGCTATACCCCCTCCCCCCACCCCAGTGATCAAATAAGTGACTGTGCGGTGAGGCAAAAGGCCAGAAGTGTTTCTCTAGTGAATTCCATATATGTGTATGTGTTGTATGTGTATTTAAATGTATCCTCCATACAAAACATCAATAAATAAATAAATAACACATTTCCAGTACCCCAGAAATCTCCCTTGAACTCCTTCCAGTTGACATTCTTCTTTAAAGTTAATACCTAGTCTGAACTCTATCGTCATTGATTAGTTTAATCTATTTTTGAACTTTATATAAATGGAATAACATTTTATGCGCTTGTGGTAGTTAAGTTTGTGTGTCAACTTGGCTGGGCCTGGTTGAGTGTCTAGGCAGCTGGATGTAGTATTCTCCATGATCAGACTGGTAATCAACTCCATGGTGGAATCTATTGGAGGGGCTGAGTAGCTGCTTTGGATATGTGGTCTGCTTCCCGTATATAAGAAACAGCTTTAGGAATGGTCTCTAGCTTATGGCACGATTGAAGCTGCATGTAGCCGAGTTGTTATTCAGCAACCTGCCATGCTCTGCCGATCCTGGGACTTTCAAAGGACTTGAATCAATGGCCTACCATGTTGTTTGATAACATCAGTACCGTGCCATTTTATTTGTTGACCTTGCACTTGTTAGGCTTAGCAGCCAGTAGCTGCCTGAGTGAAGAGATGCCTCCAGCTTCATTGGGCTGAAAACAAGAAGCAGAGCTGAAGCCCAAGGTTGAGGGGCATTCACACAGCCCCTAGAGCCTGGCACTTTGAACTCGGACTTCTAGCCTCTAGAAGTCTAAGACAATAAGTTCCTATCTGTTCAAGCCATCCTATTTGTAGTATTTTCTGTTAGAGCAGCACAGAGGTAACCAAAACAGCACTCTTTTGTGTCTGGCTGATTTCAATCAAAATGATGCCTGTGAGATTAATTTATGATGTATAGCAATGATTTATTTTTTTAATTTCTATGTAATATCGTACTTGAAGATCTGGTGATGTAGTGGTTAAAATATTCAGTTGCTAACCAAAAAGGTTGGTAGTTCAAACCCACCAGCCACTCCACAGGAGAAAGATAAAGCAGTCTGCTTCCATAAGGATGTGTGGCCTTGGAAACCTTATGAGCAATTCTAGTCTGTCCTAAAGCATCACTATGGGTTGGAATGAGTTCAGTGGCAGTATTCCCTTGAATGTACCATGGACTGCTAGAAGAACAACAAATCTGTCTTGGAGGAAGTAGAGCCAGAATGCTCCCTAGAAGTGAGAATGACCAGACTTTGTTTCTCATACTTTGGTCATGGTGTCAGAGGGAACAATCCCTGGAGAAGGATAGCATGTTTGGTAAAGTTGAAAGGCAGGGAAAAAGTGGAAGCCACTCAAAGAGATGGATTGACACAGTGGTTGAGAGAAGCACGGCAAGAATTGTGAAGATAGGGCAGGCCCAGGCAGTGTTTTGTTCCACTGTCATAGAGTAGCTATGAGTCTGAACCAACTAGATAGCAAATAACAAAAACGACGACATCAACTCTTAAGGTTGTTGCCATGTGACAGACTACACATTAAATTCTTAGTTAAAGGGCTGGTATGTTTAAGGGCAAACAATAAATTTAAGTTATTGTTGTTAATACTTATCTAAGAAGCTAGGTCAACAAAAGCAAAAACAAAAAAAAACAAAACAAAAAAACCCACCCATTTGGCAAAGGAAAAGAAACCAAGATCTTTCTTTCTTTCTTTTTTATTGTAATTCCCTACGCCTAATATTCTATGCGGGAGCTCTGGTAGCATAGTGCCTAAGGCACTTGAATGCTAACCAGAAGGCTGGCAGTTCAAACCCACCAGCCACTCCTAGGAAGGAAGATGTGGCAATCTACTTCCGTAGTGATACTACCTGGGAAACCCAAGGAGGGGTCGCTATGAGTCGGGTCTGACTCGATGGCACATAACAACAACAACAATATACTATGCACAACCTTAATATGGTGGTTGTAAGGGTGCCACCATTTTGTACCTGTCATTCCTAGGATCAGGCTAGAATGGCACTCATTGATTCTATCAGTATTTATTGATTTCCTAACCTGTGCTAGACATTGTGCTAGGCAAAAGTCTAAGACTATCCAGCTGACATACCATTCATCAAGGGCTGTAGGAAAGTACTGACATGTCAGTAGATAATAGTGACTGAATATTTTCATAATTTAAGGTGACAAAATAGTCTAATAACACATCATGTACTATTGTATCATTTTATATAATTACTGAGAAGATGATTATAGTGATTGTAGAGATTTATACCCTGATATATTTTTGTTGTTGTTGCTTCTCAGGGCTCATTAATATACCTGCAGTGGCTCTTGGAATATTCTCTGGGGGGATCATTATGAAAAAGTTCAGAATAGGTGTGTGTGGAGCTGCAAAACTCTACTTGGGATCATCTGTCTTCGGTTATCTCCTGTTCCTTTCCCTGTTTGCATTGGGCTGTGAAAATTCTGAAGTGGCAGGACTAACTGTCTCCTACCAAGGGTATGTTCACTCATTACATGATTTGAAGAGACTGCCTTGTTTAATCAAATCAATTATTATAGAATTTGGAAATAAGATAAATTTATTTTAAAACATCAAGACTGCAGGAAAGGAATTGTTTTAATGTGGGACAACCAATAATACTTATGACTTCAGATCTGTTATTATAGCCAAAATCTGTCATCTCCTTTAAATCTGACTTAAAGAGATATAGCAAATGCTAAACCTACTCTTTAGATAATCAGCCTGATTACTCTAGGGAAGTAACCTGTAGTAGAAAATACAAACCTTGAATTTTACCTCTGTCAATTCTTAGCTAGTTGGGTCACATTCTATGGATTATTTAACTTACCCCAGCATCAATTTTCAAATTGCTTTTTAAGATTTTCTAAGACTTAAGCAAAATAAGGTACATTAAAGTGATTTGTATTTTTTCTGGCACCAAAAAGGTGCTCCATTCATGGGAAAATTTTAAAAATAAATAAATAAATAATACTTGGATAACCAGTGAGATCTCTGTGCCATTCTCCATAGTCTCTGATGTAGTTAAATTATATGCAGCAACATACACACTGCCACTGAGTCAGATCCAATTCATAGAACCCCTCCTTGGGTTTCCAAGCCAGTATCACTACGGGAGTAGATTGTCCAACCTTCCTTCTGAGGAGTGGCTGGTGGGTTTGAACCGCCAGCCTTCTGGTTAGCAGTCTAATGCCATAGGTACTACACCAGCAGTTTCAGGATAATATGACTGTTCCTAAATTCCCTGTATGACAGCTCTCTTTAGCTAGGTGTTTTTCAGTAGGTCAGGAGAAAATGCATTAAAGCACTCAGATTTATACCATCTCATAGGGGGTATGTGACTATATTTCATGGTTTTCCCGAGTCTCTCTCTTAATACAAGCTTGAGTCATGTCAGACTCACTTTGTCTCTTCCCTATCAAGGGCATTTCCACCACTATATCTCTGAATACAAGTTCCAAGACTCAGCTCTCTTCATCTATCTCTTGTTTTTGTTGGGGACCATTGAGCAAATTCTGACTCATAGCAACCCATGTGACAGAGTAGAACTTCCCCATAGGGTTATCTTGGCTGTAATCTTTATTTAAGCCAATTGCTAGGCATTTCTCTCACACAGCTGCTGGGTGATTTCAAACCACTAACCTTTCTCTTAGCACTGTAGTGCTTAATCATTGAGCAACAAGGGCTCCTTTTCATCTATCTACTTATTATTTGTTTTTTTAAAAAATTGAACTCCAACTCTGTATCAGGCTGACCTTCCTGGTTGTATCTGCCTGGCTGCCTGGAACTCTGCATGTGTTCCAAGGCAAACATGCCTGACACTTCCATTTCTTGACAGTTCAGTTACTTCTTGCTCACTGGTTGATCCCTAGCTTTCTGTCTACTCTTCTTTACATGCTTTTTGATGCATCTTGTGGCTATAGTCCAACCTCCACCATCTTCATTCATCTGGTTTCTCCTGCTACTAACTGAGCACCAGTTATAATTTTTGCATTCTAAAATGTCCAGGAAAATTAGTGAATGCAAAGTGCATAAATCATGGCTTCTGAGAGTTTTCAGAGCAGTATTGTTAGACTGAACTGAGTATGGTGTTGATTTAGTAGCAGTCAGCAGGGTAGATTAAAAATGTTAGTTGTAAACATAAATGACAAGGAGCTTCTAGAGAAATATGACACTCCGTGACTTCTGTTGTTGTTGTTGTTCGGTGCCGTGAAGTTGGCTCTGATGTAACTGGCCTTATTTGCCTCACAGTAGACAGGCAGTGGTAGAGTATTTTATATTTCACAATTTACAAAACAGCTTAATTTACATCATCTCACTTGTGTCCTCAGAACACCTCTAAGAGGTGAGTTTTGTTATCCCTATTTATAGAAAACTGAGTTTAGAAAGGGCTTAAAAACAAGCATGACTGAAAGGATAATATAGTTTTACTGCACCATGCTGCCCGTACACTAAACAAGCAAACAAACCAAAACATGTAAACAGCAAAATTTTGAGATCCACTTAAAGGTATACTCACATAATAAAAGATTAAATATCATTAAACAACTGAAAGAAATAATCATTGCATGAGTGGCTATTTTCCTGTTCAAAATATTTACCCTGAAATATTATAAATACATTGCAGTAATACTTTCATTGTTTTAAAAAAAAATGATAAAAACCCTTCTTTGGAAATTGCTTTACATGTATATTTCAGAATATCCTCAACAATGGCAAAGATTTAACTAAAAGCACTTGTGTTAGAAGCAGTCAAAAAAAGGTGGAGGGTGGGCAACATCATTGGGAAAATCTCTCACCTCCCACCACGGCTATTTTGAAAGAAAATTTCATTTGTGTATAGGTATAGGTATGTGTTAAACAATATTCTTATCATTAAAATTTTAAGTCACAATTCCTTTGTCAACATATTCTTCATATGTTGTTATTAGGTGTTCTCTAGTTGGTTTTGACTTACAATGACCAAAACAGAACAAAACACAAGCCAATCCTGCACCATCCTCACAATTCTTGCCATGCTTGAGCCCCTCGTTGCAGGCACTGTGTCAGTCATTGAGGGTTTTATCTTTTTCACTGATTCTCTTCTTTACCAATCATGATATCCTTCTTCAGGGGTTGGTCCCTCTGACAACATGATCAAAACACGAGAAACGAAGTCTGGCCATTCTTACTTCTAAGGAGCATTCTGGCTGTACTTCCAAGACAGATTTGTTTTTGTTCTTTTAGTAGTCCATGGTACATTCAAAATGCTTTGCCAACACCACAATTCAAATGCATTGACTCTTCTATGGTCTTGGGTCAGGCACACCTTAGTCTTCAAAGTGACATCTTTATTCTCTAACACTTTAAAGAAGACTTTTGCAGCAGATTTGTCTAATGTAATACATTGTTTGATTTCTTGAATCAGTAGGTATTGATTGTGAATCCACATTGATTGTGAATCCAAGTAAAATGAACTTCTTGACAACGTTGATCTTTTCTCCATCTCCATCTATCATGATATTGGGAGCTCTGATAGCATAGTACCTCAGGCACTTGACTGCTAACCAGAAGTCTGACAGTTCAAACTCACCAACCACTCCTCGGAAGGAAGGTTGGGCAATCTACTTCCATAGTGATACTGCCTCGGAAACCCAAAGAGGGGTCGTTATGAGTTGGGGCCGACTCGATGGCACATTACAACAACAACAACAATCATGATATTGTTATTAGTCCAGTTGTGAGGATTTTTGTTTTCCTTATGTTGAGGTGTAATATATATTGTGGCTGTAGTTGTTGATTTTCATCAGTAAGTGCTTCAAGTCTTTATCACTTTTAGCAACTGAGGTTGTATCATCTGCATATCACAGGCTGTTAATGAGTCTTTCTCCAATCCTGATACTGCATTCTTCTTCACAGAGTCCAGCTTCTCAAATTATTTGCTCAGCATACAGATTAAATGAGTATGGTGAAAGGATACAACCCTGACATAGCATTTCCTAATTTTAAACCACTCAGTATTCCCTTGTTCTGTTAAAACAACTACCTCTTGGTCTATGTACAGGTTCTTTATGAGCACAAATAAATGTTCTGGAATTCCTATTCTTCCAAATATTACCCATTTGTTATGTTCCATGTAGTCAAATGCCCTTGCATAATCAATAAAACACAGGTAAACATCTTTCTGGTATTCTTTGCTTTCAGCCAAGATCCATCTGACATCAGCAATGGCATCCCTTGTTTCACATCCTCTTCTGTATCTGACTTGAATTTCTGGTCATTTCCTGTTGATGTACTGCCACAACCACTTTTGGATTATCTTCAGCAGAATCTTACTTGTGTGTGATATTAGTGACATTGTTTGATAATTTCTGCATTCTGTCAGATCACCTTTCTTTGGCATGGACACACAAATGGTTTTATTCCAGTCAGTTGGCCAGATTGCTGTCTTCCAAATTCCTTGGCATAAATGAATGAGCGCTTTCAGCACTGCATCCATTTGTTGAAGTATCTCAATGGATATTTTGTCAATTCCTGGAGCCTTGTTTTTTACCAATTTCTTTAGTGCAGCTTGGACTTCTTCCTTCAGTACCATTGGTTCTTGATCATATACTACTTCCTGAAATGATTGAACATTGACCAATTCTTTTTGGTACTCTGTGTATTCCTTTCATGTTCTTTAGATCCATCCTGCATTGTTCAATATTTTGCCCATAGAACCCTTAGAATATGAAACCTGAAGCTTTACTTTTTCTTCAGTTCTTTCAACTTGGAAAATGCTGAACATATTCTTCCCCTTTGATTTTCTAACTCCAAGTCTTTCCATCTTTCATAATTATACTTTACTTTGTCCTCTTGAGCTGCCCTTTGAAATCTTCTGTTCATCTCTTTTACTTCATAGTTTTCCATTTGTTTTTGCTACTCTCTGTTCAAGAGCAAGTTTCAGAGTCTCTTCTGACATCCATTTTGGTGTTTTTTTCATTCCCAGTCTTTTTAATAACTTTTTGCTTTCTTCCTGTGTGATGTCCCAGATGTCATCCCACAATTTGTGTGGTCTTTGGTCACTGATGTTCAATGTATGTATATGATGAATTTCTGCCTCAAGACCCATATAGGACAGAATAGAACTGCCCAAAACAGTTTTCAAGGCTTAATCTTTGTGGAAGGAGACTGCTACATTTTTGTCCTGCAAAGCTACTGGTGGGTTCGAATGACAAGCATTTTAACCACTGCACCACCATGTCTGCTTCAAGACCCTTTAGATGACAAATTAAGCTCATTTTCAGCAATATAAATAACTGACTTTATAAAACAGAAAAATCTCCCCAAGGATTGACCTGAGTTGCTCTGTTCCAATAAGCTATTTTGATTCTGGACATTGATTCTAGACATTCAACAAGGACACTGCATACAAGCTTTAGTCATAATAATGAAATAAATAAATAAATGATGTGAATGTCAGCAAGTTACAGACCCTCTTTGGACCTGATTTTTCTGATATGTCAAAAGAGAGACTGGTCTAGATCATTCCAATGTTCCTTGCAGCTCCAACCTTCTATGATCTCAGCCCTACAGTATCTTTAGTGGCCTCAGTTAACAATTAATAACTTATAGAATACTATTAAATATTCTTGTATGCCTGGTTAAGTAACCTTTTACTATGTTTGGGTACATCTCAAGGGTCTTTTGTTTTTATTTTCAAAGTGATTATCTTAGTTATCTAGTGCTGCTATAACAGAAATACAGATGGATGGTTTTAAGAAACAGATATTGATTTTCTCATAATTTAAGAGAGGAGAATGAAAGTCCAAATTCAGGATGCCACCTCTGTGTGAAGGCTTTCTCTCTCTGTCTGCTCTGGAGAAAGGTCCTTATCTCTTTTGAGCTTCTGCTCTTGGGCAGTCTTCATGTAGCTTGGCTCCTCTCTTTCCCCATCTTTGCTCTTTGATTGCTTTTTTAATCTCTTCTACCAAACAAGAAAACAAACTTACTGCTATCAAGTCAGATCTGACTCATAGTGACCCCTCCTTGGGTTTCTAAGGCAAAATCACTATGGAAGTAGATTGCCCAACATTCTTTCCGAGGAGTGGCTGGTGGGTTTGAACCGCCAGCCTTCTAGTTAGCAGTCAAATGCCTTAGGCACTACGCCACTATAATTACTTCTACATCAAAACAAAATTGTCTTAAGATACACGCACATGGGATTCTAATCATAGGCATGTTGTTGTTGTTGTTGTTATGTGCCGTCAAGTTGGCCCCAACTCATAGCAACCCCTTCTTAGGTTTCCAAGGCAGTCTCACTACCGAAGTAGATTGTCCAACCTTCTTTCTGAGGAGTGGCTGGTGGGTTTGAACTGCCAGCTTTCTGGTTAGCAGTCAAGTGCCTTAGGCACGCTACCAGAGAGGTTAGGGTTTACAACACATATTCTTTGGGGACATAATTCAGTCTATAACAGTGACTAAACCCATAGCAGTTCTCCTACTAGATGGAATACTACATTGATTAAGGAATTATGATTTAAACCAATATATGTAATAACTCTCAGGGTTACAGGGTAAAATGATAGATTCTTCCTCCAAAATAGAATACCATTTTTCTTTGATTGAATGACTTACCAGCAATCCTGGTTGTTAGCCTACTATGTGCCAGACCTTGTTCTTGGTGATAGAGATAGTAGAAGTGAATCAATCAGTTGCTGCCCTCACAAAGTGTTGAGTATTTAAGTAATGCCACAAATTACTCCAAAAGTATACTTTACTTCTATGTCTTGTTAGCCATTTCAATATATATTGTTGTTGTTGTTGTTGTTATGTGCCGTCAAATCAGCCCTGACTCATAGCGACCCCTCCTTGGGTTTCCAAGGCAGTATCACTACGGAAGTAGGATTGCCCAACCTTCCTTCCGAGGAGTGGCCGGTGGGTTTAAACCGCCAGCCTTCTGGTTAGCAGTCAAGTGCTTTAGCCACTATGCTACCAGAGCTCCTTCAACATATATTAGCATAGAACTATTTCAGAATGTCCTAAACACAGTGAACTACAGCAAAAGCCATAGTCAAGAAGTTATGTGAAGTTGTAAACCTTCAAAAATAACCATCAAGGGAAAGCCATTTAATAATGGACACGCATTTAATGACCAGAAGCTGGCTTTTATTAATGCTTAATGTCAATTATGTTTCCAAAATGTAGTCTCCATTGCCAGTACCATTTATATCACTCATCTCAAAAATGATTTTAAAAAATATTAGGATGCTGAAAAAAAATTAAGGTACTGTTTGGTAAGAGGTAATGTTTTATACTGCTATATTTCTTTTCAGAACCAAATCTGTCTCTTATCATGAAAGAGCACTTTTTACAGATTGCAATGCAAGATGCAAATGTTCAGAGACAAAATGGGAACCCATGTGTGGTGAAAATGGAATCACGTATGCATCGGCTTGTCTTGCTGGTTGTCAAACCTTCATCAGGAATGGAAAAAATATTGTAAGCAATCATTCCCTCTAGATTCTATGTCCAGGGATCTGTTATAATATATAAGTATACAAAGCTCTGAGGACTCAGGGAACTACCCCACAGCTGACCAACACTAGTGGGAGTGCTGGCTCTTACTCTGATCTTTTAATTTTGTGTGGAATCAGGAAATGTATAACCATCACTAATGGAACTAAAATTGTTGAAAGAATTGGGGCAAGGATTAGAATCATAAACTGGAAGGAGCTTTTGTAATTCTCTAGTTTTGTCCTTTCATTTCATTTATAAGAAATAAGAGCCTGGAGGTGAGGAAGTCCCATGTACAAGATCATACAGTTAAATAAGAACAGTGTTGAGACTCACAGCTTCTGACCTCAAAACCCATGGTCTTTGGAGGTTAAGGATCAGGACAAATAGAGGCCAATAAAAGGACTCCAGTCCCAGGTGCCAGGGACCTTGTTGTAAGAAGATTAATGGCTTGGGGTTGACTGTGCCTAAGAAATCACTCTGTATTGTGTAATAATGAAAAGAGCAGCTGGGCAAAAATGGTGGGAGATAAGCTTGGGAATATAGGTAGGATACCAATTTTAAAGGATATTAAACATCTCAATCATTAACACAACTTTACATTCCTGTTTCAAACTTACTTTTCCTTATACTCATTATGTATAAGGCATAGTGTCAAACTTTCTTCTTGTGAATGAATGATGAAATCTGCCTTTATTTGACAGTACTGAAGGGCTGTAAACTAGACCACACATATATCTTACATCTTACATGTTCTTACTAACTAAATATGACTGCATAAACACATCTGTACTCAGAGATTAATGCTTGTTGAGTTTTTCTCTGTTTATTATATCATATTTGAATTTTTTTTTTTTTTTTTTAAGAGCAGGAAGGGTAGGTATCTACCAACAATGAATAAGGCTGATGCAGCCATCTGTAATATGGGTTTTAGTCCAATCTCTTTCTTTTTATTTTTTTTTTCCCTTTCACTCCTTTAGTCCACAACTGCATGAATATCTCTCCTAACTGGAACCTAGCATTTATTAAGCATATTGCATGTTAAGGACTGGGATAGGTGCTATAAAAAATATTTTTTAATTTAAAGTTTAAATCTAATGTATTTAAATTTCATTGTTCTCAAGAAATTGGGTATCATTGTACCCATTTGCCTCATGAGACAACCAAGGCACTGAGAAATAAGGAACTTGCCTAAACTTACATTATTTATGAGTGACAATTTAAAAGTTATTTTGCCTGACCATAAAAACAAGCTGTGTTGCTCCTTTTTCTGGAAAAGGAAATATCAGCTTCATTTTATTGTTTATTTTAAAGTTCACAAACTTTTCTCTGATGGATAGTACAACTCCTTATATATACAAATGCATACATAAAACTTATGGAAAGAAGCTGATGAAATTATCTTTCTCTTTATTCAAGACTTAGTTGAATTTTATGCATCAGAAATATTTTTCTAGCAGCTACTATAAATTCCATCATATCTTCAACTTATTCCCATTTACTTAAAAACTTATATAGTGAAATTGATTGCCCAAATGTACCAGACATTATTTTTTGTTCTACATGTGCAATGATGACAAAATAGTTTCTGCCTTTCTGGAAATTGCATTCTAGTGGGGAAATATAGTTTAAGAATAAATAAACAAATACATGATATCATAGTAAGTAGTGATAAGCAGTGTGAAGAAAAATACGTGTTTGTAAAAGTTCTCACTAACGAAATACCTAAACAGAGACTTAAAGTATGGGTGCTAACTGTGCAGCTCTCTAGGAGAAGAGCTGCCCAGACAGAGAAAACAACAATGCCATGAGGTATGGGCTGTTTGAGGCTTGAGAAGGACAAAGTGGAGCTCATGACTATAGCTAAAGCTGAAGGTGGGAGGGAAGAGTGTTTAACAGCAAGAGCAGAGTGGAATCTAGAAACTACATTAAGCAGACTTTGTAAGCCACAATAAGGATTTGGGAATTTATATTAAGCTTGATGGGAAGCCACTGGAAAGTTGAAAGCGGTGATGCAATCTAACTGACATTTTAAAAGTATCACTTTGGTTACTATGTGAAAACAAACTGTAGCTGAGTATGAATGGAAACAGGTTAGCATGAAGAGACCACTGTAGTAATTAAGGCAAGAAATAATGATGGCTTAGACTTAGATGAAAAGGAGCTCGGGTGGTGTAGTGGTTAAAGCATTCAGCTGCTAACCAAAAAGTCAGCAGTTCAAACTCACCATCTGCTTCATGGAGAAAGATGAGGCAGTCTGCTTCTGTAAAGATTTACATCCTTGGAGACACTATGGGGACAGTTCCACTCTACCTTTAGGGTCACTATGAGTCAGAATTGACACAGTGACAAGTGGGTTGGGTTTGGTTTAGGTTTAGACTTGGATGTGTAGTGAAGGAAAAAAGGTATTGTTGGATTTGATAAGATGTGCTGAGAGATTGTTTCTGTAGATTCAGTAGTTTGTAAACCAACTAAATGCTGTTTGGATATCAGACGTTGTGTATGTATACATTTCACTTTGCTCAATATGCCCTAGCAGAGAAAAGTATAAGAATATATCCCCACTGGTTTATGCAATGCTTGAATATGGTATAGTACAACCTTTAAATAAATACTTATTTGTGATTTCATTTAAAAGTTACTTCAATAATTGGATATTTCCCTATTGTGTTACAGATATTTTATAACTGCACCTGTGTGGGAATTGCACCGTCTACATCAGGAAATTCCTCAGGCATGGTGGGCAGGTGTCAAAAAGATAATGGATGTCCCAACATGTTTCTATATTTCCTTGTAATTTCAGTCATCACATCTTATACTTTATCCTTAGGTGGCATACCTGGATACATATTGCTTTTGAGGTGAGCACTGATTCACTCTACCTTGATACAAGAATAACATAATAGAAAATGTAATATATTAATGAAAGCAGTGATTACAAATTCTGTTCTTTGGAATCATCTTGATCCCTTTTAGCCCTCTCAAGGTACTTTGTTCTACATCTTTGTTCCATTGTTGTTTTCCACTTTAGGTTTTTGTGTAAAACATGTAGTTAAATATGCTCTCTTCAATAAAAATGTTTGAGAACCACTGGTCTAGAGAGCAACATCAATGCCTACATCAATGTAGTCAATAAATACAGCATGCCATTTTCTAAAGCTGGTGATATTATATTAACTAGAATATACAAAATGTGTTTTGGAGTAAATACAGTTTCACTGAGTTTATGGGTGATACAGTTTATAAGGTTTTCAGTGGCCAATTATTTTTAGAAGTGTTTGTTGGGGTTGCTGTAAGTCAGAATCAACTCAATGGCATCTAACAACAACACAGTTTATAAGATACTTTAAAGTCTCATTAAATACCATAAATTCTATGGTTTTTTTTTTTTTTTACAGGTAGGCTATTACTTTTTCTATATATTCTTTCCCTGAATAGAATTATCTGTAGCCACTTCATGGCTGGTGAAATAATTGAGAATTCTGATCTATGAATAGCAGCACACCAATGATTTCAAAAAGTTTTTTCCTTATGAAACCCTAACAAATTAAAAAAACACCTTTACATATTTTAAATTCAATATCTAAATAGTTTTATCACAAATTTAGATTTTAACTACTCATTTATTTCTGGTATATTGTAAATATTTACTTTAAAAATTAATGATTAAGTCAGTCTTTTAAATGTAGTCCATTGTTGTTCATTGTTGTTATGTGCCGTTGAGTCAGACCCGACTCATAGCGACCCTTCCTTGGGTTTCTGAGACAGTATCACTATGGAAGTAGATTGCCTCATCTTCCGTCCGAGGAGTGGCTGGTGGGACCGCCAGCCTTCTGATTAGCAGTCAAGTGCCTCAAGCAGTATGCTATCAGAGCTCCCAATGTAGTCCATAGTACTTTAAAAACATAGCTTAGATAACCAATATCACACAATTAAAAATTATGTGGAAAGATCTCTAACAGTCATAAATGTAACATCTTTCCTTAATCTCCTTGTACTTATGCCTTCATTCCACTTTCCTATAGAATTTTCTTCTACCGTAATATAGTTTATTCTTGAACATTTTTATCGATTATCCTATTATACATCTCTATAAATCATGTATACAAGTTCAAATTTTAAAATACTAATTTTATAACCAGGATTCTCCATGATAATATTTTTTCCCTGATTGAATTAGATTTTAAAATATTACTATTATATAACTGATCAAAAGAATTTAAATTATTCCAGATTTTTTAAAAAAATCATTCAACATAAAATTTTAATGGAATCAATCTTTTATGAGATGAATTGGATGATTTTTAAATTAATTCCTATATACAAGAATTAATGAGACTAATAAAGAATATTGCATTCATCTCTAATTTTCACAGTATATACTATAGAAATTGGTTAGGAAAGATAAACAGAAAATAGTATCTAATTTCTGTCCATCTATTATTCTCAAAGGGTTTTTGGAGAACCTGAGATGTTTGTGTTTAGAAATGGGGTTCAGAATGATGAGAAAACACTGCCCCAGGGTTCCCTGACCCATGTTACTCTTTATAGTGGCCATTTCTTCAACACCTTCTTATACTTGCTAAGAAGTCACCTGAACCAAGCAGAGAACCAAGCTACTATTGTTACCACCAGTCTCCCAAATCTGATACCCTAGTATAGTTTGGTGTCAGAAGAACGCCCTTGGGTTGAATGAGAAAAGTTACAATTTTTGCCTCTTTTAAAGCAGAGATTAAAAGCAGTAATACATACGAAGTGCCAAGTACCATAGTTAACATTCAGTACCAATTATGTATCATCTTGATAGTTAGTATTTTAATCCACAGGTCCATCATTTAAAGTTATACAACTTTTTAAATCATGCTCTTATTTGTTTAGCTATGCTGCACTTAGCTGTTTAAAATCAGGTCCTGTCTATTCAGTATGTGTAACATGTAACAGTAATTATTCAATTCAACTAGGTTCTGTGCTTTTAGACTGAAAGCCACAAAAACTAGTTATACGTTATTAATTGTTTATTGTTGCTTCCAATTCTTGAAATTTTTTAGAATTTATTTTTCTTGTATTAGTTATTTTGCTAATTAAAGTTATGATTTTACTCTACCCAATACCATTCAAATATGTTATGTAATGGTGATTTACCTTCTAGAAATATTAACTATAAAGTCTTTGACGCAATGGCACATGGCTTTTATATATTTTGCCTAACACACTATTCACTTTTCCATAATGCTACTCGAATATTAATGCAATTTCATTGTGTTAAGGAGATTATCACTGTCATTTCTATTGATTTTAGTTGACTATATATTTATATTTATAGTGTGCTTTTTTTGCATTTAGATCCATTAAACCACAACTTAAGTCTTTTGCCCTGGGTATCTATACCTTAGCAGTAAGAGTCCTTGGTAAGTAATCTATGCTCTAACTTATAGTAGCTATCAGAAGTGTATTTCAAATACTTTTAATTACCATTCATAATTAATTATGCAGGTGGTTAAATCCTTTTATCCCTCCCTCCCCCTTCCCTTCTGTTCTACCTTCCTTCTTTCCTTCACTCCCTCTCTTCCTCCCTCCTACTGTCTTTCACTCATCCATTTCCTTTTTCCAGAAATGTTTCTTGAGTATAATATAATACTATACCTGTGATATAATAAAGTTATTTGATGAGAGGAATGACAATTTTTGTTTAATAGTCTGACCTCTTTCAGCACTGATCTATTGTCAAAAAGCCCATTGCTGTTATGGGACAGCCTTCTGAGAAGGAAGTGGGGGGTGGGGAAGGAATCATTAACAATGCTCAACCTTCAATATGACTGTGGTAGTTAAGGTTATGTGTCAATTTGGCTGGGCCTGGTTTTGGGTGGCTGGGCAGCTGGATGTAGTATTCTCCATGATGAGACTAGTAGTCAACTCCATGGTGGAATCTACTGTGAGCAGCCGAGTACCTGCCTTAGGGAATGTGATCTGCTCCCAGTACGTAAGGAGAAGCTTTAGAGATACTCTGCAGCTTTCTTGGCATGCTTAGACCCTGCATGTCACCACGTCTTCATTTAGCAGGCTGCCATGTTTCCTGACGATCGATCTTGGGACTGTCTGTGGTTGAACTAGTGGCCTACTCTGTCCTGTGGTAATATTGAGACTGTGTCATTTTATTTGTCGATCTTGGGCTTGTTAGCCTCAGCAGCCAGCAGCTGCCTGAGTGAAAAGATACCTCTAGCTCCAGTGGGCCAGGGGCAAGAGGCAGAGCTGAAGCCCAAGGTCAACGGGCTTTCACTCAGCCCCTAGAGCTCGGCACTTTGAAGTTGGACTTCTAGCCTCCAAGATTGTAAGAAAATAAATCTCTGTTTGTTTAAAACCACCCATTTGTGGTGTATTCCTGTCAGAGCAGCACTAGGTAACCAAGACAATGACTTGCTCAGCTATTTAAATGGAAGAAATTCTTTCAGCTACTTTCAATACATATTTCAAGGATTTGTCATTAGGTAGAAAGATAAGATTATTCAGTTAATTAGAGCAGTATGCTTTTAAGTTGGTGAATCCTTTAAAGGTATTTGAAATGTTTTCTGTGACTACAAAATTTTTAAGTAAACAATGGTGACACATAGAAAAATAGAATGAATGAGACAGATCATTCTGTGTCCTTAAGGAGTTTATGTTCTAAAGGAGAAAGTGAATTAACTGTGATTGCTCTTCTGCAATTTGGCAGACAAAAACTGCCTGGGAATAAAAACCAGCTCAAACCTTTAAATATCTCAAATTAAATTAGATTTACATAGATCTCAAGATAAATATCTATAAAATGTATGCAGATGTGATAGAATCCCAATAAAATTGTGCAAGCAACAAAAATGAAAGTTTATGTCATATGGCATAGAGGTTATCCAGAAAATTGTCAGATTACTGAGCTTGAAGTATATTCTTTACTGCTATTGGCCTTTATATCTACTTTTTTTTGGAAATATTTATGTAATCTATGGAGCTCTGGTAGCGTAGTGCCTAAGGCACTTGACTGCTAACCAGAAGGCTGGTGGCTCAAAGCCACCAGCTACTCCTCGGAAGGAAGGTTGGGCAATCTACTTCCATAGTGACACTGCCTCAGAAACCCAAGGAGGGGTCGCTTTGAGTCGGGTCTGACTTGAGGGCACATAACAACAACAACAACAACATGGTGCAGAAAAGGAGCTCTGGTGGCATAGTGCCTAAAGCATTTGACTGCTAACCAGAATGCTGGCAGTTCAAAACAACCAGCCACTCCTTGGAAGGAAAGTTGGACAATCTACTTCCGTAGTGATGCTGCCATGGAAACCCAAGGAGGGGTCACTATGAGCGGGATATGAATCGATGGCAGTGACTTTCATGGTACAAAAAGAAATTCAAGTAAAAAATATATATATTTATTAAATTGATTGCATACAAATAAAAAAAAAATAAAAAAAAAATATTTGGAACTGGCAAAAATATCATAGCAAAGTCAAAAAAATTGATGACCTGGGGAAAAGTAGTGGCTAATATCCCTACTACATAATAGAGCTCACAAATATTGAGAAGAAAAAAACTAGCAAACAAATAGGAATATGGTAAAAGATATGAATAGTTATTTCATGGAAAAAGAAATGTCAATGTCTTTAAATTTAGGAAAAGATGCCAAAACTCATAAGAAAAGTACAAATTAAAACTGCACTGAGATCCTATTTCTTATTTATCAGATTGGAAAATTAATAAACTTTATTCATAATGTATGAGGAAACAGATATTTTTACACATTGTTGTTGGAAAGGTATACCATTCCTGCAGAGAGTTATTTGGCAATAACTAGCAAAATTACTCACCCCTCTTCTGTCAGTTTGTCATACTGTGGTGGCTTGTGTGTTACTGAGGCTCGAAGCTATGCCACTGGTATTTGAAATATCAGCAGGGTCACCCATGGTTTCAGTGGAGCTTCCAGAGTAAGACAAATGGCAACAAGGATAAGGTCATGTGCTTGTCCCTGGAAACCTTATGAATAGCAATGAAACACTCCCTGATATTTACTGGAAAACCTTATGAATAGCAATGAAACATAGTCTGATATAGACCTGGAAGATGAGCCCCTCAGGTTGGAAGGCACTCAAAATACGACTGGGGAAAGAGCTGACTCTGCAAAGTAGAGTCATCCTTAATGACGTGGATGGAGTAAAGCTTAAGAAACCTTTATATGATTCAAAATTGCAAGAAATAGCTAAAAATATTCATTAATAATCAGGATGTGTAATGTATGAAGTATGAATCTAGGAAAATTGCAAGTAGTCAAAAATGAAATGGAATGCATAAAGATCAATATCCTAGGCATTAGTGAACTAATGCCAAAACGATGCCAAAGACCAAACAAAGACCAAAATGGATGTAGGAAGGACTCTGAAACTTGCTCTTGAATGGAAAGTAGCTAAAGCAAACAGAAGAAATGATGAAATAAGAGTTGAACAGAAGATTTCAAAGGGTTGCTTGAGAAGACAAAGTATTACAAAGAAATGTGCAAAGACTTGGAATTAGATAGCCAAAAGGGAAGAACATACTGAGCATTCCTTAAGCTGAAAGAACTGAAGAAAATTTCAAGCCTTAGGTTGCTTAGGTTGCGATAGGTTGCCATTTTGAAGCAGACAATCATATGATCTACTATGCCAAGACTGACAAATTGAACAGGAATGGCATCACATTCATCATCAAAAATAAAATTTCAAGATCTATCCTGAAATAAAATGCTGTCAGTGATAGGATAATATTCATACACCTACAGGAAGATCAGTTCATATGACTATTATTCAAATTTATGCACCAAGCACTAAAGCCAAACATGATGAAATTGAAGATTTTTACCAACTTCTGCAGTCAGAAATTGACAAAATGTGCAATTGAGATATACTGATAATTCCTGGTGATTGGAATGGGACAGTTGGAAACAAACAAGCAACCTTAATTGCCAGATATGACCTTGGTAAAAGCCCCAGTATCAGAGATCGCATGATACAATTTTGCAAGATCAATACTGCAAATACCTTTTTTAAACAATACAAACAGCAACTACAGACCTCCAAACCAAAAACCAAACTCACTGCCATTAAGTTGGATCTGACTCATGACAACCCCTCCTTGAGTTACTGAGGTGGTATCTTTACGGAAGTAGACTGCCCAATATTCCTTCCAAGCACCACCAGAGCTCCTTACAAGATGGGATATATAGGAATCAAATTGACTAAATCTGTGGAAAGAAGTGATGGAGAAGCTCAATATCAACAAAGCCAAGAGCTGAGTATGGAAGAGACCATCAATTGCTCATATGCAAGTTCAAGATGAAGCTGAACAAAATTAAAATAAGTCTGAGAGCCAAAATACAAACTTGATTATATACTACCTGAATTTAGAGACCATCTGAAGAATAGAAGACAAGACGAGTTGTGAGAGGGCATCAAGGACATGATACGTGAAGAAAACCAAAGGTCATTAAAGAAACACAAAAGGAAGAAAAGACCAAAATGGATGTCAGAAGAGAAACTTTCTCTTTAATGGAAAGTAGCTAAAGCAAATAGAAGAATGATGAAATGAAAGAGTTGAACAGAAGATTTCAAAGGGTTGTTCAAGAAGACAAAATATTGTAAAGAAATGTGCAAAGACTTAGAATTAGATAACCAAAAGGGAAGAACATACTGAAGATTCCTTAAGCTGAAAGAACTGAAGAAAATTTCAAGCCTTAGGTTGCGATATTGAAGGATTCTACAGGCAAAACAATAAATGATACAGGAAGCATGAAAAGATGATGGAAAGAATATGGAGTCACTGTACAAAACCACAACCAAAAAGAATTGGTCACATTCAACCATTCCAGGAGGTAGCATATGATCATGAACCACTGTTATTGAAGGAAGAAGTCCAAGCTGCGCTGAAAGAATTGATGTAAAACAAGACTTCAGGAATTGACAGAACACCTATTGAACTGTTTCAACAAATGGCTGCAGCACTGGAGGTGTTTATTCATTTATGGCAAGAAATTTGGAAGACAGCTACCTGGCCAATTAACTGGAAGAGATTCATATTTGTGCCCATTCCAAAGAAAGGTGATCCAACAGCATGTGGAAATTGTTGAACAATATCATTAATACCACATGCAAGTAAAATTTTTCTCAAGGTTATTAAAAAATGGCAGCAATATATTGACAGGGAACTTCCAGATATTTAATCTGGATTCAGAAGAGTATGTAGAATGAGGGATATCATTGTTGATTTAAGATGGATCTTGGCTGAAAGCAAAGAATACCAGAAAGATGTTTACCTGTGTTTTATTGATTATGCAAAGGCGTTCAACTGTATGGATCATAATAAATTATGGATAACATTGAGAAGAATGAGAATTCCAGAATACTTATTATGCTCA